TGTATATAAAAAAACATAAAGGGAGTCATGTGATGCACTGAATTGAGCACCACACTCAGCAGCTGGCCCCTACAGCAGCTGGCAACGAAGAGATGTTGCAGCGCTAAAGCACTGTGGCAGCTGTCTGTTTAGTGTGAATTCACCTTTACGCTGAACTGAGAACATCTACCCTTGTAGTGTCCAAGCTGCAAGGGTTAAATGTTCATTTATTCTAGGAGTGCAGGTATAGGACACAATACTTATCCCTCAGCTGGCTCCCTCAATACATGTGATGGGTCCTGTGCTGTCGCCTCTCTAAGGCAGCCTTTCTCAACCAGGGTGCCTTGAGGTTTCTTCAGGGGTGCCTTGGCTAAATGTATAAAAATTGCCCAAAACTTGTCTACAAGCCAGTGGGTGGAACAAGCCTGCATTTTAGTTACACAAAGCCACAGGTTTCCATTGTGCACCATTATGACCTTCTAGGCGGTGGCCTGAAAACCAATGACATCATCAGCTGAGAAGGAGGACATCAGCTGCCTGCACAGCATCCTAGTTTGACCCTCCCCTGCCCCTCTCCGTCAGTGCCGGGGTCACATTAGCTCAGTGATGGAGAAAAACTGAGGGAGAAGAGAAACATTGGAATACTAATCAGTACCAGTGTGCAAAAGTGTATTTGCTTTGGAAGCAGGGGTGCACTGACCATTTGAAAACTCGGGCAGCGCCCGAGGGCCCTGGGTCAGTAGGGGGCCCCATGAGATGCCCCTGGTACCTTTTTCATAGGCTTTTTTGAGTTTGGGCAAGGACACAGGGGCCCCATAAGTTGTCAGTCCGCCCGTTTGGAAGAATAAATCACCTCTGATGATGGGGGTCCTACATATGTGGAAGTTGCTGCGTTATATACAACTATTAGAATAGTTTTCACATTTTAGAATGGGGTGCCTGAATACTGTCCATAATTTTAAAGGGTGCTTTGACTGAAAAAAGGTTGAGAAACACTGGTCTAAAGCACTCTCTTCTGCAGTTGCATTGTGGGGCAGCACAGCGGCTCAATGGTTAGCACTTCCACCTGGCAGTACTAGGGGTGTTGGTTCAAATTCCAACCGTGGCAACACCTGCCTGGAGTTTGCATGTTCTCCCTGTGCCTGTGTGGGTTTCCTCCGAGAACTCCGGTTTTCTTCCACACTTCAAAGACATGCTGGTAGGTTATTTGGCTCCTGTCTAAATTGGCCCTAGTATGTGTATGTATGAATGTGAGTTAGAGACCTTAGATTGTACACCCCTTGAGGGTTAGAGACTGATGTGAATGTACAATACATATATGTAAAGTGCTGCATGAATTGACAGCGCTTTATAGGTACCTGAAATAAATAATAAATTCTCTCCTCCACACACAGTGCAAGGTAATAGCTCTGCATGGTACACAAGCATGCTGAAGTACCACCTACAGCCTGGAGCGTTGGGTAGAAGCAGGGGCGGACTGACCATTCAGAAACTCGGGCACTGTCCAAGGGCCCGGGGTCAGTAAGGGGCCCCATGAGATGCCCCTGATACCTTTCATAGGCTTTTTTGGGTGTGGTTTGAGTGTGGGTGAGGACACAGGGGCCCCATGATCCCCTTTTGCCCGGGGGCCCCATGAGTTGTCAGTCTGCTCCTGGGTAGAAGAGAACAGAACTGGAGCCTACCGCAACAAGGGACAGGGGAAGTAATACACCTTATTCCAACAGCCCTACTGAATGTTAACCAAGTATTTAACCCTTACAGTGCGGGAGGAAGCCCACTTTAAGGGTGGATTATGTCTAATCCCCGGAGCTCAGCTGTAAATTATGTCTAACATTATTAAAATGTTTGATGAACATGACTATTACGGAACCTTGCATAGAGGTAATTTCATTAAGCACTGTACAGCATAATTAATGAAGGTACTGCTAGCAGATTTCACTGAGATATAATTAAAGTGTTATTTTTATCAGCACACGGAGGGGTTGCATTATTTATAGAGCAAGTCCATCCAGCATAAACACTCCATAGCACTGCGTACAGCCCCGGGTCAAGAAGCTTCAGTTAGACATGCATACATTGTTCACCAATGTTTACCCTAAGCACAGCTGTCAAGCACATTCAGCTTCATCACCTATTTTTTTTTCTTGTTCAAATATTTACAAAAATATTCCCCATTTGTCTTTTTAATTTCATGCAGGTAACTGCCTGATAAAAGAGAATTAGCCTTTGCTAGACACCTGTGTTTACGTTCTTTGTCACGGGACAGTATACAGGATTTTATATATATATATATATATATATATATATTTTTTTTTTTTTTTTTTTACAGGAAAATTTACCATTTATATTTATTATGTTTAGGACTATTTTTCTTTCAAATAATTGTGTACATCAAGCCTGATAAAAGAGAATTAGCCTTCGCTAGACACGTGTTCTACGTTCTTTGTCACTGAACAGTATACAGCATTATATATATATATATATATATATATATAGTTTTTTTTTTTTTAACTGGAAAATTTACCATTTATATTTATTATGTTTAGGCCTATTTTTCTTTCAACTGTGTACTACATCAAGCCTGATAAAAAGAGAATTAGCCTGCGCTAGACACCTGTGTTCACATTCTTTGTCACTGAACAGTATACAGGTTATATATATATATATATATATAAAAATATATATATAAAATTTTTATTAATTTATTTTAGATATTTTATATATATATGTTTTTTTTCTTTTTAACAGGGAAATTTACCGTTTATATCTATTATGTTTAGGACTATTTTTTCTCTCAACTAACTGTGTACTACATTAGGTGTTGCAGTACTACCTTGTAGATTTTGTTTAGCATTGTATTTATAAAAGAATTTGCATAGTTGTTTGCCCATCAAACCTGCGTGTAAATTCATTCCATGTGAATAGGGCAAAATCTAATGTTCTCAGGCCATAGTTCCTGCAGATTTAATAAAAATCATTGCAAGCAAAACAGTGTGAATGGGGAAAATACTCTTGTGTTGCTTCACTTTATAGGGACAGCTGTAATATTTTTATATAGAGGGGTTCTAATACCACTATCACTAATTTATTTTTTACGTTTGAGCTTTTTTGGAGCTTCGAGCTACAAAACGCTCAAGTGTGAATGCAGCCTTAAAGAATTTGTAAACCCAACATGTCATATTCCTGACATGTGCCTACTGAGGAAGCCCGAATCTGGGGCGTAAAGCGTATAGGTGGAAGGAGCTGAGCCCTAGACACTTTAAACTGATGACCATCCGGGAGAGTGGGGTGGTGAGCCATGTAACAAAATATACATTATTTGCTAGCTTGTTTCTTACGTTTTGTAAGTGTTTTTAATCTGGGTGCCAATAAATCGTTTTATAAATAGAGAGCACTATGGTTCCGCTTTTCTGTTTTCCATAATACATATTATATGAGAGCGTCAACTGGAGGAGTGTATACTTTGGTGGCAGGGCTGCTGTTATAAAATACAGGCCCCATACAGCCAACCTGACAGAGCCCCCCCCCCAAAAAAAAAAACAACACAGATTACTATACTTCAGTTATGAATGAACACAGCAAGTAATCAGTACCGATCGCTTGTGTTAATTCTGGAAAGGAAGGGGCTGGTAAATGTGACATATTCACTGGAACCATCCTATTGTCCTAATGCCTGCAGCTGCAGGTGGGAAGGAAAGGAGGATAGCCAGCAGCACTGTGGGGGTGAGGGGCCCTGGGCAGCAGGGGGAAACATATGGTGCACAAGAAGAGTGATGAGGGGCAATTACTGGAACTGATCCCCTGTATGGCTCTCTCTGCAGCAGCTGAAATCCGACGGGAGGGAGAGAAGTCAGCTTTCAGCTGCTGCAGAAAGAGCCATACAGGGGATCAGTTCCAGTAAATGCCCCTCTGCTGTCCTGATCACCTTCCCTGCCCACATCCGATTCACCCAGCTGCCTGGGCCTCCCTGCTGGCCTGGGCCCCCTACTGGAAGACTGGTGGTACCCCCTTATCTACAGCTCTGTGTGGTGGTACCAGGAGAGGAGCTGGAGGAGGACCACGGAAGGTGTACACAAGTCTGTCCATATGTGGAGCACATAATGACCTATTGATGAGGTCATAAAGAGAGGTGAGAAGGTTTTTCACCTAATGGTGGTGGCACGGTTGGCACTGAAGATTTATCTTATACACATTGCACAGTGGTGTTATAAGAGACTTTTCCATGGGACTTTAATTATTGTTTTTTATTGATTTTTATAGGAGATATTAGTTTGTTGTGCTACACTTTATTGTTATTCATTTTGGTACAGGTGTTGTGAAGTCACTAACCGTGTTTTAGCAGCAACTATTTAGAGCACTATCATATTATTTTAGGGTGTGTTGCACTGATTGAATAGGGGTTTAGATGTTGCACTCTTAGTATTGCTTCCTTTGTGTGAAACCCTTGGTGTTCCCACCAGTCCCCTTGCGTTGCTGTCTAAAACTTACCACACTAGGCATGAGAGAACACTGCGGTCAGTTCTCTAGCTGTGCTGGAATCTCAGCCTGCATTCCTCCAATGATCAGACTTGTTCTGATATGCCCCCCCATGCATAGCCATTCACTGGGAATATTAGTGTGCTGCTGTTTCTCCACCCTCAGCTCTCTGAGAGCTTTATGCAGAGAGAACAAAGGGTATGTGATCTCTTATAAAAAAAAGGGGGGGAAATGTTTATTATCTTTTTTATATCTGTACAAAAATGTTTTACCTTTCATTTCTATTTTAAACTGTATGGGTTGTTTTATAAGGTGAGGATTTACATACACTTTAATGATAGATGTTCACCACATCCTACATACAGTATATCTTTATCCATTGCTTTATTACCAATTATAGATAATTTCTACACAAGATGATTGTTGATTTTAAAATAAGGTATAAAAATGTATTAATAAAAGTTTAATATTTGGAATCTGTTACTTTACAGGTCTGAGGTTGCACATTTCAGGTTCCCCATCCCCAAAGCACATATCCATTCACAATGGCAGACGACGCTGACATGCGCAATGAGCTGGAAGAGATGCAACGGCGTGCAGACCAGCTGGCCGATGAGGTTAGTTTTATATGACTACTCTTATGGTATATATGCTGGTTTATTATTATTGCCTCTAGTGTCCATATTTAAAGGAATAAAAAGGTCTGTCCACTTTATGTTCACCTTAGGTCAACATTGACATGTCTAAAATTCTATCTGCCTGTCTGTCTCTGTCTCCTGACTCACTGACCCAGAACAAGTATGCAGCAAGTAAAGTCAGAGTGAAGCCAGAACTCCCAATTTCTATATTTAGTTTAACAAAGTGACTTGCAGATAAGCAGTGAAAGTCTATACATTTCTCTGTAGAAATCTATTTTAATAGTTTGAAGGATGTTTCTGTAAAGTACCTTGCCAACCATGCCAACCAGTGATATTGATTATTAAAAAGAGTTTCTGATTAAGATGGCATTACTTTCATACAGTCAACCCTAAAATGTTATGTGTGTCCTACCCCAGTAACCCCTTCAAGTCTGACACATACCTGCCCATGATCCATGGAGGCCTTCACTGTGGGTTATTGAGACCACGGGTTTGATTTACTAAAGGCAAATAAATTATTCAGTTTGCAAGGCAATTTGCCCCAGAGCTTGGTGAATGTTGTAAAGTGAACTTTGCAAAGAATAGCCAATCAGGTGCAAGAAAAATAAAAAAAAACAGCAACTTTTTTACACAATCGGATGATGGAAGTCAGCACAGTCACTGGGCTCTTGAGCAAATTTCAGTTGCAAATTGAACTTCCTATTTGCTTTTAGTAAATCAACCCCAGTAATCAATGACCTTCCTATGGGGCCAAATGGGTAATTGTGCATGTGCAGCCCAGCTGGTATACATTTCCAAGAGAAGCTGAGTGGCTCCCAGTGGCCCAACAGTGAAGATCTCTCTGAATCATAGACAGCTGGGACAGAAGGACTTTTTTTTATAGAATAACTGCAGTGACAGTATAGATATAAATCTGGATTCACATATACATTTAGATCTTTGGTGTATAGGGACAGAAAGTGAACCTGGGTGTCAGTACAAAATCACAGGGCCCCATAGCAAAATTCCAATTGGGCTTCCAACTTTGCTGCTCCTTTCATTTTGCATTGGTGGTCAGTGACTTATTTTACGGACCTGATAATAGACTTCTTTGCCATATTACATTTTAGATAAGCCTATTTAAATTTTAAAAGCTAGTGACTCACGTAGCATTCCTAGTTATAGCCAAGAACCTTGGGGGCCAGTCTACAACTGAGCACAGTCACATTATATGCGTGCCTGCCTGGCAAGGCTACCACATTGGCTTTATTCTCCTCTCCCCATAGGTCCGTGGCACACAGCCAACAATCAGGGGTGGATCAATGTGCAGAAAGTAGTTTTTGATTATCAATGCCAACCGTGATTTATTTATAATGGTAGGGCAATAAATATAACTGGGTGGTTATTTTATAAGTTCTTTGAGTATCTCCACTGGGTTCCTAGGGCCATAGCTGCTGCATTTTCTGCTATGACTATAGTTACTCTCTTGAGATGAAGGTAAAAAAATATCCAGCAGAAAAAAAACGCTAAATGCTCCTAAAAGCTGCTAAACGCTACTAAAATACTCCTAGCAGCTTTTTTTTTTTTCCCTAGCTTTTTTTCCCCCTACATGTACTGTAAAAATGCTAATAAAACACTAACACTCCTAAATGCTTCTGAACGCAACTAAAACTCTTCTAAAAAATGCTATTACCAGCATTTTTTATCCAGCTTTTTTTCCCTGTGTTTTTTTTTTTACGTACAAAAAGCGCTAGTGTGCATGGAGCCTAAAAAACAAATCAGTAATGTGTTATTTCTGTCCTCATGGGTTCACTTTGATATGTTATGATGAAAACTATTTTTTAATTTGTTTTTTGCCTATAACAGACTGCCCCCCCAACATGTCTCTTAAATAATTAAAAAGCCTAATTGGGCTATAGAGACCCTTTTATCAACAGCTATTGACTTTTCCTGATATATTTTTTCACCTTCACAATAACTAAAATTCTAGTTAGCCAAAGTAATCAATAAGCTCATTTTCAGCAGAGAGATCATCAAGCCTGCTTAACGTGGTTGTAAAGTTTCCGCTCTTTTTCCTAAAATAATAAACATGTTATACTCTCCTGCTCTGTACAATGGTATTGCACAGAGCGGCCCCAAACCTCCTCTTCTTGGGGTCCCTTGAGGGTGCTTTTTGGCTCCTCTTCTTCTTTGTCTGCCCCCATAGCAAGTACTTACTATGGGGGCAGATGTGCGGGCTTGATCCCGAGCTGGGCTGTGTGTGTTTATAGGAACACACAGTGTGGCTTGGCCCCAAACCTCCTCTTCTTGGGGTCCCTTGAGGGTGCTTTTGGCTCCTCTTCTTCTGTGTCTGCCCCCATAGCAAGTGCTTACTATGGGGGCAGATGTGCAGGCTTGATCCCGAGCTGGGCTGTGTGTGTTTATAGGAACACATAGTGTGGCTTGGCCCCAAACCTCCTCTTCTTGGGGTCCCTTGAGGGTGCTTTTGGCTCCTCTTCTTCTGTGTCTGCCCCCATAGCAAGTGCTTACTATGGGGCCAGATGTGCAGGCTTGATCCTGAGCTGGGCTGTGTGTGTTTATAGGAACACACAGTGTGGCTTGGCCCCAAACCTCCTCTTCTTGGGGTCCCTTGAGGGTGCTTTTGGCTCCTCTTCTTCTGTGTCTGCCCCCATAGCAAGTGCTTACTATGGGGGCAGACGTGGGGGCTTGATCCCAAGCTGGGCTGTGTGTGTTTATAGGAACATACAGTGTGGCTTGGCCCTATGCCCCCATTCCCTCCTCACAGGCCAAAAAAAAAAGAGCTAGTGTGCATGGAGCCTAAAAAACAAATCAGTAATGTGTTATTTCTGTCCTCATGGGTTCACTTTGATATGTTATGATGAAAACTATTTTTAATTTGTTTTTTGCCTATAGCAGGCTGTCCCCCCAACATGTCTCTTAAATAATTAAAAAGCCTAATTGGGCTATAGAGACCCTTTTATCAACAGCTATTGACTTTTCCTGAAATACTTTTTCACCTTCACTATAACTAAAATTCTAATTAGCCAAGGTAATCAATAAGCTCATTTTCAGCAGAGAGATCATCAAGCCTGCTTAAAGTGATTGTAAAGTCTCCACTTTTTTTTCCTAAATAATAAACATGTTATACTCACCTGCTCTGTACAATGGTATTGCACAGAGGGGGCCCCAAACCTTCTTTTCTTGGGGTCCCTTGAGGGTGCTTTTTGGCCCCTCTTCTTCTGTGTCTGCCCCCATAGCAAGTGCTTAGTATGGGGGCAGATGTGCGGGCTTGATCCCAAGGTGGGCTGTGTGTGTTTATAGGAACACGCAGTGTGGCTTGGCCCCACCCCCCCATTCCCTCCTCACAGGCCAATGGCTCCTGATGCTGCTTCTGTGCCTGTGAGGAGAGAGAGCAGCAATGCTGTTCACGGGAACAGCGCTAGATCGAAAGAGGAGTCAAGTAAGTATTTTGGGGGAAACTGGGGGTGAGCTGATACTGGAATGTTTTTTTACCTGTAGCCCTGGTTCACACTGCAGCAGTGTGGGTAATCCCATGTGATTCACACAGGAACCGCACCGCATTCCTGTACAAATCACATGCGATTTTTATGCGGTGCGATTAGAACAATACATTCTGTATGCTCTATTTGCACCGCACCCGCACCAAAAAGGTGCAGGACCCTTTTTTTGATCCGCACAGATACCATAGGTGTTAACATCTATGCGATTTTATTTTGCACATTGCAATGCGTTTTGCGGACTGATGTGGGGATGTCGTTAACTTAACATACACACCCACATCAATCAGTGTGAACGGGATGCGATTGTGATGTGGTGCAGAATTCGCACTGAAAATGCTGTGAATTCCGCACCACATCAGTGTGAACCAGGGCTAATGCATAAAATGCATTAAAGTAAAAATCCTCAAAGCGTAACTACACTGTATCTGAGCACCACAAACTAAAAGCACTATTTAGTTATTTTATTGTTATTAATAGCAAACTCCCCCATCTATCAATGTCTCCATGCTTTATTTTGCGGATAAATCACTTAGAAAAACACCCCCTAGCGTTTCTTGCCGTGGACATCTTGAGTGAGGGCAGATGATTCACGTAACATGTACATCCTGGAATCGATCTGCCCTTAGCTCAGGCATGCAGGCAGAAGGGTGTGCTTAACTGAGAAAACCCCTCCTCCCCTCCTGTAGACTCCTGGGATGTATGAAATAGTTTTCTTAAGCATGGAAGTAACTGAAGAAATGTAAAAAACAAGTAATTATAATATAATTTCCTATCTATTTATAAATGCTAACAGGATAAGGATTCCAAATAGTCAATGTTGACTGAGAAAGCGAATTTCCACTTTAAGCCTTTAGACCTATGTTAAAGACTAAAAAACAAAAAGACAATGCAATCAAGGGGTCCGGTGTGTTCAAAATAACATGCAGTATTTCAATATTGTCCTTAGTTCAAAATCCTTACCATTGGCCATGAGGACCATCCCCAAAGCCTGCCTGAAAAACTCCCACTGAGGTGATTTCCCATCTTCCCCAAGTTCTGGGACGCCCTGAATGTTAGGATCTCGCTCTCAGCATCCCAGAAGCGAGCACAATTCCATATTTCAAACCCGTGCTTCTTCATTCAAAACTCCTACATGCTAAAGTGCAGGTTTGAAATGCAGAAGCTCATTTGTTCTCGGGATGCAGAATTGCACAGCTTTTTTTTTTGTGACCCCTAGACTACATAGTCTGTTTTCCTGAGAAGGTGAGCTTAGCCTTTAAGCTATTTTACTTACAATATTAGGTAATAACTGTAACTCAAAAATGGAAAATCTGCACATCATCCTGCTTGTCTTGATGTCTTCACGTTTTACAATGCGGTGAAGATTATTTGTCTAGCTGTCTGGTTGCCATTCACCTGAGCGTACATTATTGTGTGCACAGTGTGTCATTCAGTTCTTCCTGAACCCTCACCTGACTCCTCTTCCATCTGTCTCTGCCCAGCTGTTTGATGTGAATAGATAGATAGAACACATGTATATATGTGGCAGGTGAAGCAGGTGGACATAGGCAGACACGTGTTTTCTAAACATCTATTTCACCTTTCAGGTTCTTATTGCTCCTTCAAAAAACTGCCCTAGTTCATGAGTGTGGTAGTGACCAATGCTAGCCATTAATGGCATTTCAGTCAATTTCTGCTGGTATTGGTCCTGTTGGCTCAACAAATGTCAATCTAAAAATCAAATGAGTTGGGTGGAAAATTGTTGGCTGAACAGTGACTGCATCCTATCAGATGCAGCCACTGTTCAGGTATTCAGACGGCTGCGGATGTGGCATCTGTCTGAACATTGGAGATTCCTCCATCCCTGATGATTAGTGTCCATTGAGTTCTCTCTTTCAGCCCATGGATCTGAATAAGAGAAATCTAGCCATATTTAGGCTGATATAATTGATTCCATGCACTCTACAGAGTGCAATATAAATATGGGGGAAACATAACGGAACTTTAGTTTAGATGTCATTGCTGTGTATGTACTCCTGTACATGGGAGAGAAAGATTCTGCTAAGATTAAAGGCCAAGTCCAAAATCATTTTTTTAAAAAGTTTTTTACAGAGTGAGGAAGGATTAGAACCTCTGTCAGTTTTTTCTTTCTTTCAGGGTTGTAGGCAGCAATAAAAACCTGACAGAGGTTCAGTCCCTACAAAACTAAAGCGCAACTGAAATAACACATTACTGTGGTTCAATCCAGTAATACATATGGCTTTTTCTACTTTTTTTTTCTACTCATTTTGAACCATCGCTGATAAAAAAAAAATATAAAAAATGGTAAATAAAATTCATATTTATTACTGTACATACATCCTGACTGCAAAATACAGTAATAAACTTAGAGGGCTCATACCGGCTTTTAAAGAAAAAAGTTTTAGCAGGAGTTGGGTTTAAGACTTAGCTGGAGTCTGCTAAAAGCTAGTATATGTCAACAGCCAAAATTTCCATTAAGATTGTTATTAACTCTTCTGTCCCGGGAGTTAAAGGGTATGATAAGGATTTCAGTAAGGCCCCTTTCACATGGGCGTTCCATATGTCCGTTTTTCACCTGTCTGTTTATGGATGAAAACCGGACACCCATGTATTTCTATTGACTAGCGGATGTAAACGAATGGTCATCTGTTTATATCCATTAATGTCCGCATCTGTTAACATCAGTTTTTTTGAACAGAAGAAAACCCTATTTTTCTTCAGTTAAAAACAGATGTCAACGGACGAAAAAATGGATGTAAACTGATGAAAAATGGATGTGAACTGATCCATTTTTTCTTGGGAAAAACGTGACTGAACTTATGAAAAAAATGGAACACCCATGGTAAAGGGGCCTAAAGCTGCTTACAGGATTTGTCCAGGAAAAAAAACAAAAACAAAACAAAACAAAACAAAAAAACTGTTAAATTAACAAATACCTGTGTTAACAAGACTGAGCTAATGATATATTTTACTGAAGTCTAACTGGCAAAATCATTATATTATTACTGCACTATAACAAAGATTAGACCATAGTATAGCATACTGAATTTAGTTTGCAATGCATCTACCTTTCTAGTAGCTGAAAAATACAACACTGGCTAGAGAGCCGACTACGTGGATTTGGTAACCCATAGAAGAGGTGATTATACTATTAAATATTATTGTTATGATTATGATGATTATTGTTATTAATAATAATACTTATTATTATTATTTATTGACATGGATATATTAAGCAATAATATTAATATATATTAATAAAAAATACCATACACTATTACTATTACTAATAATATTTAATTATTAATTGTATATTATCACTAATATATTATATTAGTGCATTTCCAGCAAAAACAAAAAGTACTATCTGTGATACCTTTTTATTTGCATTAACACCCCAAAAAATCCTTCTGTGTAGAGACTGTGTTTCTGATAAAGCATTCTGTATTAACACTGCTTGGACCTTGAAGAAGGGGATGCGCCCCAAAAGCTTGTCCTGCAAATGTGGATGTTATTGCAAATAAAAACAGTATCATGGACAGTACTCAATTGCTCTGATAGCTGATAGTAAGGAAGGTTCCCATAACAGGAACTTTGGAAAAGAAAGAACATTATTTGTAGTATTTCAAAAGCGTTGTCTTCAAGAAAGAGATGTTTTCAAGAAAGAGATTTTCTTTCCTATAGTTCTGAAAACTAAATTAAAAACTAAAAGCAATACTATTTTTTTTTTTTTATAATTTTGGATAGTGTAGAGATGGATTAGAACATCTGTCAGGTTTTTATTGCCCCTTTTAAGGAGATTCACCCTCTCTATTTCTCCTGTTTACCGTTATCAGTGAAAGCAAAAGAAAATCTCAGATCTTGGGTTGTCTCCAGAAAAGTAATAGAGGGGAAATCTTTCAATGGGGACACTCGTTCTGGTGATCTGGGGTCCCCAAGGACTTCCCTTAATTTGCAGAGATTTTCCCTCACCTCCTGTTTTGGCTATGGAACAGAAAATGAAGGTAAATCGTCCCAATAGGACACAGATAGGAAAAAAAACTGACAGGGAGTTATAACTAATTTACTTTGTCCAAAATGAAAAAAAAAAAGGTTTTTCCTATAGTTCTACTTTAAATCCATCAAACTGTTGTTCTTTTGTGTCTTTAATATCAGAGAAACAGAGGTGCTACAAAATATTTTAGTGCCCAGAGAAGCACTCACTCCTCCTACCCCATCTTTTTGTCAGACCTTCACTGGTTAAAATAAAGTCACAAAAATAAGAAAAAGAATGACAACACTTTTTTTCCCCAGTATCTTTCTTACAGTAAAAATATCTATTTCTTTTTCAGTCACTGGAAAGCACCCGCCGAATGCTACAGTATGTTGAAGGGGTAAGTAAATTCTTTTTCATTTCTACAGATCATTACTAGCTAAAATCCACATTTATGCTCTGTTGAAAAATGAATAGTGTACTAATTAAAAAACAAACAAACAAATGTGGACATCATCTGAGACATTTAATGATTAACCTGCTTGATATTGATACACATTTAGGGCTCGTTCACAATTGACTTTATTTCTATCTCTTGCCAAATGCCCCTATAGCGTTTGACAGGAGTTAGGCGTTTGGGAAGCGTTTTTAATGCTCCTCAAACACTCCCCAAATGCTCCCAAAACGCCCTATGCGCAGTTTTTGAGGCGGTTGATAGGCATTTGCCAAGCATTAAAACCACACTACAAACTCCTATAATGAAGTTAAATGGTATTAATGCTCCGCAACCGCATCGCAACTGTATCGCAACTGTATCGCAAAAGCCTGCCAGGCGTTTGCAGAGCGGCACCATAGACTTGAATGGGAGGCTTCAACTCCTCCTGACTCGACACGAGGGTGTCAGTTTTGCCGCGACGCAATGATATTGCTTCCGTGTGAACAGCACTGTGTGCTGCCATGTGCAGAATTTTCATAGGCGTTTGAGAAGACTTAAAAACGCTCCCAAACGCCTGTCTTATGCCTGCTGACAAAGCTAGTGTGAACGTAGCCTTAGGGCCAGTTCACACAACATGTGTTTCAGTTGCTTTTTTTCTGCATCCAAAACGCACAGAAAGTAGGTTATATGGTTGTCAGTGTCATAGTTCACATCAGTGCTTGCAGTTCCAGTGCATTCCAGTTGCAGAAAAAAAAGTAGAACATGCTGCATTTTTTCTGCAGAGAACTGTACTGGAATGCAGTAAAATGCATCAAGAACGCACTGGAATGCACCAAAACTCACTACAAACGCACTGCAACGCAGTGAAGAAAAAGAGAGGAGGAAAAATGAACTGGAATGCATAAAAAATGCACTGGAACGTGGCAAAAATGCATCAAAAATGCACTGGAACGCTCCAAGAACTTGTCAAAAACACACATTCAGAAACGTATCCGGAAAGCATCTGGACTGCGTTTCTATAGTGTGAACCAACCCTAAAAGTGGTAGTAAGCAAATTTTTTTTATACTTTTACCTGCAGGTAAACTTATGATATAGATTTACCTGTAGGTATAATGACTATCTCCTAAACGTGCACTGGTCAGGAGATCTTCTAGTGAGCAGCAGCTGCTGACATCACGAATGTGCTCTGAAGGAATGGCATATCCATGCTGTGTGCTGCAGTCGTAGCTCCCATGCGCGTGCGCGGGAGTGACGTCATTGTGGCTTTGGCCATTCAAGTGTCCGCAGCCCAGGAACGCGGAAGGAAGACCGTGTGAAGATTGCAGCCTCTGCAGTGGTGACAGCGTGGAGGGCTTCGTTCTCAGGCGACGCATACTAGCACATTATGACATTACCTTGCAGGCGAAAAATTTTTTTTTTTTTTCCGGTTTACTACCGCTTAAAAAAGGCACAATGTTATTTTATATCTTTATTATGGAGTAGATTTGGTAATTACCACTAATAGCATTTAGTATTTATAAATGAGTAATATATCTGTAAAAGGCTTTAGAGTCTCTCGATCAGAGATCAGAGTCATGATGTTTAGACATATTTGCGCACATTGTCTATTTTTTACATAACCTGTGGTCTAATGTATTACATATAATCCACTTTAGATAATCATTTCCTTTTCAGCTTACATGAAATTGTATTAGCTGAGAAAACTGAGAAAACATTTGCGTGTGTACAGATGTGTACTTTGTTCTTTTCTGACTACTGCATTACATTTTGTACTTCAAACCGGCAAGATTTATTGAACTGGGTACGACAGCGGTGGAATAAATTAGAGGGTCATGTCTTGGCCCCACCAACAGTAGCTAGTCCTGGAAATTAGCTCAGTAAAGATGTCAAGGAGTCAAGAGTCCACCACCCTCCTTTATGTCACAGTGCACCCCCTTACCTTGTGCTGCTGCCAGGAAGCATGAGGGGCATAACTGGGAAGCATAAAGTGCAGAGTCAGGAGGAGGACCAGAGGAGGGCTGGAGTCTGCTTCCAGAATCTGCTAAATGCTGAAACAAGGGGAGGGAGAGACGAGGGGGTGCTTCTGCTGCACAGAAAGGTTGGACTGATGGGATGGGGATGCAAAGGTGAGCCTCTCTGCGGTTAAACCGAGGAGTGCAGGATCTGCTGAGACAAGGTGGTAGCGGAGACAAGGAGGTGCCACAGCTGCAGGTGAGATGTGAAAGCCACATGAAATGGCCTGGCGGGCTGGATTTGGTCCTCAGACCTTGTGTTTGAGATGTGCTCTAGACCCTCTATTGCCTGCCAACTCTTCTGGATGTGATTTAGGAGAACCTATTGCTTTTTTTTTTAAAATAAAATAAAATTTCCCTGCAGTATCAGCCTCTAAATACTCATCTCTCATCAGGCAGGAAGTCCATACTCCACTGACTTCAAGTGTCACAGCATCAGGCCTAGTCTTAGCATTTTCGGCAGTGTTGGATACCTACTTCCCTGGCCACCCACTATGGTTCTGTTTGGAAGCCCTAGTAATGACGCAGAGGCTGGTGGGAGGAACTCTTGAGCTCAGTGTTGCAATGTAAAGATTCAGCTGGAGGGGGCAGCGTTTAAAGACAGCTGAGTTTAGATTCATGGAAAAGTGAGTATTTGGAGGTTTTTATTACAGGGGGCCATAATTATGTTTTTTTTGTTTAAAGTGACACTTCAAGTTACATATAGACCAGCAATGTGATTGTTACACTCATTACTGCAGTTGTTGACTACATCAACTGTTAGGAATATAAAGAAGGCTTCTAATAAGAGGACATGGGGAGAGGGTAGAATTCTGGACTTTGTCCAATTGTTCCAGAGCTAACACAACATAATGTAGGACCAAAGCTGAATCTTGAATATGTGGCTTCAATTTTGGATAGCCTATAGCAGGGCTTGACAAATTTGTTTTAAATCTAGGAGCCAGCTAAAATAGTTAGGAGCCAGGTGGGGGGTATCGTGACAGGTCAGTGGGGGTAGTGTGACAGGTGGGGGGCAGCATAACAAGAGGAGGGCAGCTTCACAGTAGGGCGGCAGTGGGACAGGAGGGTGAAGTGTCACAGGAGGGAGGCAGGAGGACAGGTAAGGGGCAGTGGGACAGGAGGGTGAAGTGTCACAGGAGAGAGGCAGCAGGACAGGTAAGGGGCAGTGGGGCAGGGGGGAAATGGGACAGGAGGAAGGCAGTGGAACAGGAGAGGGGGAGCGTAGCAGGAGGGGGACAGTGAGACTGGTGGGGGTGCAGCAGGATGGGAGGGGAGCAGTGGGACAGGAGGGGGAAGTGTCATGGGAGTCGGGGGGGGGCAGTAGGACAGTGGGGTCAACCTCACACAGGAGGGGGCAGTGGGACAGGAAGGGAGGAGCGTAGCAGGAGGAGGGGGGGGGCAGCGACACTGGTAGGGGGGCAGCAGGATGGGAGGGGGGCAGCAGCAGGACAGGAGGGGGAAGTCTCATGGGAGGGGGGGCAGTAGGACAGTGGGGTCAGCCTCACAGGAGGGGGGCAGTGGGATAGGTAGGGGGCAGCATCACAGGATGGGGGCAGCGGGACAGCTTTCACCTGCCCAGCAGTGCCTCCTCCAGATGTGGGGATGGGGTGGGGTTTGACACTGTGCTAGAGGTGGGGCTGTACGCTGTCACATAGGTGGCAGGACTTGGTGGCCCCGGTGACTCTGGTCCTCTGGCTGGGAGAGCCGCCGCAGTTGAAGGTGGCATTGACGGGTTCCATGGTGTGGATGGGGTGGTGGGCCACGTCTTCCTCTCCATGGGCTCTGGGGGGGGGGGGTAGTGGGCCTGTGGTGTACTCTGAGGGGGCCAGCTTTTGTGGGGCTGTGCTCTCTGCATGCAAAGGGATGGAGGAGACTATAGGGGTCCTGGAACTCTAGGCTCCACTCTGTGGAGTGGGGAAGAGCAGCCAGCCAAGGACATGAGGTGGGGGGAAAACAGGGCAGTGTGGGCTGGCGGGGGGCTAGGCGCCAGTACACAGTTTCTGGTCACCATGGCGACCTGGTGCCTGGGAATTATGGAACCCTGGCTTATAGCCCTGGAATCCTACAGAAATCCTACAGAAATACTGTATTTTTTTTCCACAGTATACTGTATACTTTTTTAGTCAAGTAAATATAAAATATCGCATGTGTACATTTTTGTTTTCTTGTACAGTATCTTTCCAGCAGGTGGAGATTTAGGCCCTTTTCACATCCTTTCCAATTTCTCATTATCTCCTGTTGTAAAATGCCTGTTGCTTAGTTCAATAGCTCAAGATGAAATGTACACACACAAGAGACTCTTACCACAGGATTCAACAAGAAAACAGGAGTGCGAGATCCTCATTAGCATGACAGTAATAATTTATTAGAAGAAAAAATAGCACACTTACAGTTAAAATTCTTGCAGGTCAGCATAGGCAGTAGGAATCACTAAGATGGAGACAAAGCAAAGTTATGTAAAGAAACGACAACTCCAGATCTCCTGGCCAACATCACAGAGAACGGGAACCTTTGATACCAGTCTGGGGACTTGGAGCTGCTGTTCCTGTACATAGCCTTGCTTTGTCTCCATCTTAGGAATTCCTACCGCCTATGCTGATCTCAAAGAATTTTAAATGTAAGTGTGCTATTTTTTTCTTGTAACAAATGATTACTGTCATGTTAATGAGGATCCCACCCTCCTGTTTTCATATTGTTTAAGCTGCTTTGGATCATCCTGGATCTTCACGGGAAGCCTCAGGATCCCCGTTATATGGCCTCTGACCATCCTTCTGATTGGATTGAATTTCACTGTTGCTGCTGATAGTGGACATTGAAAGCTGGGACTTGTGGTGCGGTTCACTGATTTGTGATTTACCACAGGATTTATCCTTTTCTCTTCTGCTTCCTCCTTATAGTTGTGTCCAAAGTTTTGATCACAGACAACATGTCTGAAGGGAGACAACTTCTGT